TATAGGCACCCCCCATTATTACCCCGGGGGTTTGCCGGGGGCAGGCCCCCCCCACCCACCCCAAAAAATGAAAAGCCCCCAAATAAAGGGGAGCCATTCACCCACAGCCACTCCATCTTACCAGGGTTCAGCCAAAGCCTGTGGTTCCCCATCCAGACCCTTACAGCCTCCAGGCACCGAGAAAGGGCAGTTTAAGCAATCTTCCCCTTATGGCAGGGTAAGCAACTTCTGCCAGCTCAAGGGCTGTAACATGCTTTGTACAATATGTTGATGGCCAAAGATGGAGCCATTTGGGGTGGGGGGGGAGTCAAGAGGTATAAGCCTCTGCAAGGGTTTGTCCCTTAAAAGCCTCCATCCCTAAAAAACATAAAAAAGAGGCCCAAAGGGGATGCTGGCAAAGTGCATGCTGCCTCTGGGGTCCGCTTTCTATGTTATGGGAAGCTGGGTTTGAAATCCAGCGGTTGCACGAATGGTTCAGATATCATATCTGCTCAGTCTCAGGTCAACATCTGGAGGATTGCAGATTGGCCACCCTGGATTAAATGAATATGAAATGTACCAATAGGTTGGTTATCAATATTTGAAACCAAGCATATCAGTATGTCTGTTATCCAAGTCTTCCCTTCCTGTCAGAACATGATGACCTCCTCATGCATCTTGGTAGTAACATACTTTCATGACCCCAAAAAGTTGTTATCTCACGATATACAGATCAGATAGTGGAGAGGCCCCAGCCCCTGAACCCCTCAATATCACTGGACACCCCTCAATGTCCCATCCTGATTCAGCTAAAAATACTATAGCAAGAGTCCATATCATTTCTCTGGCCAAGGTCTAGCCTAAAAATGATGGCATGCTCCAAAAAGCAGATGTGTGGGAAAACACTAAATTGGGGTTCATTTTATTTAAATAAAACTAAATTGAATGTGTCAAGCTAATCTTATTATTCCCCATGTATTTAATGGTTTTCCCTTCTACTACAATTCTTTGGCAATTCTGGGAGGAACTTTGGGGTCTGGACCCAAAACCAACACAGGAGTTACATGTAACATTGGGGCTTCACGTTGTTCAGTAGTAAGGGATCTTTGTCTATCATTCTCTAGCAAAACAACAACAACAAAACCCAGCATATATGGCAAAGTCATGGTCTTTCTTGAACAGAATCCAAGACGAGATTCTGAAAAGAGATAATGCATAGCCTGGATTAAAAGTAAGATAAAGCCTCCCTGGAGATTATATCAAATCCTGGTGTCTTCGTGGTCAGATCCACATAGCTTTCTTGGCAAGAGTACAGAACTGGTTTGCCACTGCCTTTTTAAATTTCTCAGTCTAGCCTGTCTTGTTCAAGTACTAACTGGGTTTGACCATCCTTAGCTTCTTGAGATCAGCCTAGGTGCTGTTATTTTCTTTGGAATTGTCATGCAATAAGGTTTGGAAGTAGCCATATGTAGCAAATGAAAAATATGTTTTGTTTCAAACCCCAAACAAACACACTGTGTTTCAGAAATTCCACTGAACAGTTCCAGGTGGACTGTTGCTTGGCAAAACTGAAATGTGGAACATCTTTGTTCTGCATTAGAGTCGAAACAAACCCTTGAAACATTTTACAGAGGGAACAGGCCAGAGGTGATACACCTGATCCCTCTGTCCTGTCCTCTTCCACATGGCCTTTGCCCCAGCCTGCTCCTGGTCTTCCCAATGCCTTCCGTTCTAACCAGCCCATCTTCCCTTCCTCCAAATCTTCCCAGTCCCTTCCTTTTCTTAGTTCCACTTAGTCACAGCCTCCAGTTTTCTTAGCTTTTCCCCACTCCCTCCCCACCCCCAATTGCACCCATACCATTTGTACCTGAAACATGTGTTTCTCTCCATGTCTAAATTAGAAAGTGCATGTTTCACTCTTTATCTGGACATGGACCACCCCAAACTAGGTGTTCTGGCCATGGAATGGTTTTGTGTGACCCATTTTGTATATCTTTACCCAGAAGTGTTTCTGAGTCATGAATGGCTACTTGACAGAGAATAGAGTAACAGCATGTGGCTATAGTTCCTTGTGAGGCATGTTTTCACATATTCTGTAACACTGAAAGGAAGTTTACAAGGAAGGAATCCTGCCTGAAACATGTAGTTCAGCAGTCTCCAACTACGAAGTTCAATAGATGATTTGATGATTTGTGCCCAGTTGTAACCAAATCAGCCTAAAATAGGGCAACCTGTGCCTCCCATTCTGAACTACTCAGAAGAAAAGCAAGATATAAATGAGTGTAATAATTATAATTAGTTCCTAGCTCTACATAGGAATGGCCAGACAACAGATCTTGGTATTGAGCAAGGATTTCTGACTTTTCAACAGTAATAGCAAAGCACTATATCATTGAAATGAAAATAAGTTTAGGATTCCTTTAGTTTGTGTGGAAATGGTGCATATTCTGTTGAAATACTCAAATTCCTGGATTCAGAATTCTTTAATTCCAAATGTATAGCTTTGCTCCAGATGCTATTTAATGGACCTCAGGGTTCCAGTAAAAAAAAAAAAAAAAAGAGCTCTCAAGCCCAATGATATCTACCCTTTCCTGATGTTGCAAACTAGTCTGAAAAATTGTACTGGTCCATTAATAGATAACTATTATGCTACTTTCTATGGTATGCAACATGGTGCAGAGTGATCTGGAAATCTTTGCTCATCATCATATCAAAGCAGTGATTTGCTCTTTTTGGTGACATTTGCAAGAAATCAAACAAGCATGATACTCTGGTGTCCAATTGATTTGTTCTTTTCAGAGCCAGTTATTGAGTCTCACATCTTTGTCTCCTGAGATGGAGAGATTGAATGAAGTTAGCTTTAAATTGCCACTCTGTGACTTCACTGTAAAGAGATTACAGAACCTTAATCGGCAGTGGACTCAGAAAACTACTATGGTTCTGGAGCAATGCAGGTAAAAAGGACTTACTTTCATATTGTGATCTAACTCCATCACAGATGTTTATGTCACATTACTTGCAGCCATTGGCACTGGAATTACCATTTAGCCATTGGACACCCAAAGTGTTGAAATCTCTGTTACTAAGCTATATTGTGTATGTGATGTTTTCTTTCACAGCTATTTTCTACTAGCAGCCTTAATCATCCTTTGTTTTTGGTGGCAGTGTACTAATCTTACCATGCAACACTCATGGAATAGTTCCTTAGATCTGAGATGGGATTTTTGGAATCCGCTTTTGAATTTATGAACTACAGCCCAATGAGTTGAAAGAAATTTTTAATAATATACAAATGCTTATGAGCACATTAGAGAGCATAGAAAATGGAGACATTTAAGTTATAAAAAGAGTTGATCAGACAGTGAGATAATTTAATCTGTATACAAAACTGGGCAACCAGATTCTTCTTTAGAGCTCCCATGCTGGGAAGGAAGGTAGCAGACAGCCTGTTATAGAGCTTTCCCCTGCTGTGTGTCTCCCACTTTCATGTATTTCAAGAGGCACAATCTTTGAAGGTTACATGTAGATACCATGACTAACAGCCATTGACAAGCCCCATTGTCCATGAAGTTAACTAAATTTCTTTAAAGTCACCTAAGTCAGGTGTTCCCAATGAAATGCCATGGGCACTATTCTATTGAGGGACACTTCTGCCTTCTACTTTTGAATTTTTGAAAGATTTTGTTTAATTTTAAAACAAAATTAAATGTGAAGCTGGCATGCTGCATATAGAGAATTTTGGATTCTGTACAGGCTCTGTAAACAAAATAAATGAAGTTCTTAGCTCTCAGTCTTTGTTTATAAATGTGTCCATATGTCCATCCCAATAACAAAGGTAAGATGGGGTTTTATAATACGTATCCTTGGGAGCTACAGAGTGTAGCAGAGAAGTAGTTCACTAGTTTGCCTTTTAATAAACTGTTTTTTTGTGACTGGCCACATCCTTTATAATTGCCATTTTGGTTATGGACATTATGGTTATGTGGCTATTTTCTTGAAGTAACCATGACATGCTCTCAACATTTTAACCCCAAAATATGAGGGATCTCTCATTGGCTAGTTCCACTGTCTGACTTCTGGCAGCTCAATAGCTGTTTTTCCTCACTGGCCCCCTTAGATTTCAAATTAGATAACAGTCTTAATTCTCAGGCAATCTTCTGGTACTTTATACCCTGCAACTATGTTAGGCTACAACTGGTGGCTGGAAGTGATGAGAGTTATAATCTGTGCCATTGGGAAGGTACCAAGTAAAGGAAGGCCGTGGTGGAGATTTGTCTGCAGGATCATCAATAATAACTTTGATCTACTTCAAGTATACCTGTTGATGCCTGTAAGATTTAAGTTAGTCATACCTAATATAACTCCCAACTAAGAAGCATTTCATTTGATTTCTTTTTTTAAATTGCAGTGAACTGCAGAATCAGCAATCAGATGACAAAAAGTTTCTTCAGCAATGCCAGAATTGGGTGCAGTTTCTGGAGAAAATGAAAGAGACCCTGAAAGAGAACATGGCGGGTACACTTGAAAAGCTGCAAGAACAGCAGAAAGAATATGAGGTACTATTTCCAGATGTTTGGCCTTGATCCAAAGAACTGGGAGTTTGATAATGACTCGGTACCAGCTTTGAAATCATATTCCTGCCACAGTTGGCATTCTTTCAGTTTATTGAACTATAATAGTTATTAAATTCTGTTCATTACTTACAGATATTACAAGCAGAGATTTCCATTAATCAGCAAATTTTCAGTTCTATTGTGTCCAAAGCTCTGCATATGTTGGAATCAGGAGAAGCAGAAAACAGGTAAAATACATGACTTGATTGTGTATATCATGGTGAAGGTACAGCTGTCAATGCAAATGATGTGAACCCAAGCACCAACCATTTTTAGAAAAGTTAAAGCTGTCATCATAACTTAATGCATATGGAACAATTGGCAGAGCCAAAGACAGAAACTCAGGCCTGATCTTAGGCCTATGCAGTGTTCAGAATGGTGCAGCTAACACCCATGGTGGAACAGGGAACTGCAGAACCCACCCAGCATCTTCTGTTCTTCGTTGTTGTTCTGCATTATTCTATATAATAACATCTATTATCTCAGGTCTGTAATTTCCTACACCTGCTTATCTGGATGCAAGACCCATTGAATTCAAACTTTTAGAATGGGTGACTCTACTTCTGCATATTTCTGCACATTAAACATAATCAGCCTTTTCCAAAATAGTTCACTTCAGAGTCCTTGGTGTTCTCTGAGCTTGGTTGTTTTCTGGCAGACGTTTTGTTACCCTGAGCTACATATATTATCTTCTGTTGATAGGTCGCTTCAGATTGTCAGGGCTACAATGCCCAGAATTTCCAAATATCTGACAGATCCTTTCTGATATTTCTATAGATCAACGTAATTGTAGCATAGCTTTTAGCAGCTCTTCCCCATTATAGTGAGGTAGGAAAGTCAGCTTTCCTACAGGTCAAAAATTTCATAAGCTCCAGTGTACATATGGGAGCTGAAATCAAAAACATTTGAAGGATGCTTGGTTGTCTATGCCTGAAGTTTTATATTTTAAAAATAACACTGCCTTCTTTCCTGCTGACAAATCATTAAGTCAGTTCAGTTCAGTTTATTTACAGTCCAAGAGTAATAATTAAAAATGCATGAAATACACTGTGTGTGTGTGTGTGAGTGTGACACAGGTCTGAAACTATTCGTAATAAGAACAGTTTGTTAGACAGCTTCTGTAAGCCTCAGCTGTTGATAAAAAAATTTGCAACCTTCTTCTGAAAACTCTTGGAAAGAAGGAGAATGGTTATCTCATGGTCATAAAAGAACCACGTTTTCTAAGAATAGGTAGTATTCTGTATAAGGTGGCCATTTTAGTAATACATGTGATACAGTTTCAGCCTCCATATCTGTACATACACAAGCGCAGTGTTCAGCAACATGGAGGGGATGCAGGACTCTCAGATGGCCATATTCTGTAGCAACATGGGGTACTTGCTGAATGGTACCCTGGATCCAAAGCCATATGTTCACAAAGTGATGGTGGCACATGATACTGTATTAACACATCACTCTGGTTGCTTCAGGACTGAGTTTATCTCCAGGCTCACTCTGCTGAAGGAGCAGTGGCAGAGTGTAGTGCGGATGGCTCATCGGAAGAAGAGTGACATTGACAGCCTTGTAAAGCAGTGGCAAAAATTCACAATCTTACTGCAAGATCTCACAAAATTCCTCATGGATACAAACAGCTACATAGCTGCCATGAAGAGCCCGGACAAGTACGGCTTGCATCAAATTAGGAACCTGGATCACAAGTTCAAGGTTAGGCCTCCCATTCAGTATAATCAGAGAAACCAATAAAAAACTGCAATAGTCTTTTGTCTGGAAAATTTACATGGGCTTCAGTAACCTGGATAGACGTACCCCATAGTTCAAATTGCATTTCATACACATGTACCTCACTCATATTGCTTCCTGGCATAAATGTTAGGTTCAAATGAGATGAATAACAATTCTAACTTAATGTTGAATTATTATAATTGTTTATAATTCCAAATGTTGGGCTATTTTTTTTTACTGAATTGACCCTTAGAAATTTTGTTTATTTTAATATTGTTGATTATAGAATGGACTCATGTATTAATATGTCCTTTGAAATAAATTATTTTCTTCTTTGTGTTATAAGCAGCTTCAGTACAATTTTCTCACTTAAAGTGGCATACTAATTAAAAACCTATTTTTTTTAAAAAAAGCAAAATTGGTGTTTGTGTGAAGCATGCTAATAATCCCATATTATATATTGAATCTCCTGCCCCCAAGATTATACATTATTGGGGTAATACATGGCTAGACATGGGTTTAAAAACTTGGCTATACTAGTATAAGAGCCTTACATCAGCAGCTGTCATCTCAGCTTCCTTCTCCCTCCTGTGGAATTGTGATAATAACAGATTCCCGGGAGGATCCATATGGTCTCTCATTCAGCCATAATGCTAACCAGAGCTGGCTAACCTTTTTTTGGCCAAGGACTGCATTTTTAAAATACTTTTATTATTTTCGCTTCCCCAGGACCTCTACAGAAGTGGCAATAGTGCCGTAAAATCCATAGTAATATGAAAAGGCATGTTTTCTGCTAAAATTGTTAAGTAATTTTTAAGGGGATTTTTTTATCAAATAGTTTCGTAGATAATCTTAGGTATCTCTGTGGGTGTCCTTTCAATACTCTACATGCTGATCTTTTAACCATAACAATAATTTACTGTATCTTTTATGTGATAACAATCTGGGTTTGTTTGCTTTCTTGGTAGACTAAAGAAATACTTCAAAAGAGGTGGCAAACCAGATATTCTTTAATCTTGGATACTGGGGAAAAGTTACTTGGCATGGTAGCCCCTGAAGCAAAGGCTGCCATTCAGCTGGAGATGAGCCAGTTGCAAGATAATTGGGACAACACACAACTTCAGCTGGAGAAGATTACCAGGCAGTTTCAGGGCACTATACAGGTATCTGGCATAAATCAGTTATCTTTATAATGAACCAACTGGGTCTAGAGTTCCTCTTTTTGTGTGAATTTGCTGTTTGTGGAAGGTTGTTTTATTTATTTACTTACTGCAATTCATATGCCATCCCAATCCAGAAAATCTGAATGGCAGCTCGAGGCTTGATTCTATATCTTGCTACCCAATTCTTGGGTTTACAATTGCTAGAGACTGAACTTGGACTCTTTTGCATATGTAGTATATGCCTTATTATTGAATTGTGTTCACCAGCTTCTTATGCATTTGCTGTTGATTATTGGGGGGGGGCAGTATTTCTCTATAGGGCAGAGGTAAGGAAATTGATTTGTTCAGGGATTTGATGATGTTTTTGATTTAAAGATGAATTGTATAATTGTTGTATGGTATCTTGGGGTCCTATTTTAATTTGTAAATGCTGTACAGGAAATGCTTAATCATAGTCTGCACAGGCTGTGATTCTCTCAAAGATCTTCTGGGATTGCAGAAGGATACTGTTGGATTGGTAACACTGGGTGTTGCTATTGTGTTTAGCTATTACTTGTCTAGTTGCTTAAATATTGTTTGCTTTTGAGGCAAAAAGAAGTTCTGCATCTGAATTGCTCCTGTTGTTTTGCTCATTCTTGAGATCATGGAGTCAGAAGAGACCATTTAAGCCAATGAGTTTGCTTCCTGCTGTGTGTAGAAATCCAAATAAAAGCATTTTGATGTCTCCTCTACTTGTACACATCCAAGGAGTGGCAGTTGCATACCTCCCTTGATAACTAGTCCCACCATAAAATTCCTCTTTTGTTATGTAGGTTTTTCCAACAGAGGACTCAGAGAATAGTGTATTTGCAAATCAGTGCAAAAATTATGAAGTCGGCAGATAGGCACAAAGAATCTTTGTGGATACCATTTTTCTTCCTCTGTGTTATAAGGAGACCCCCAAATGTATTGGAGGTTACCTGATACCAGCAGTGCCTCTATATATTGAGCAATAAATATTGCTCATCATGAACTCATTTTATTTTTCTTCTTTGAAATTACAGACCTGGGAGAGCTGTGAAAGGCAAGTCAAGGACCTGGGCCACACTTTACTAGAACTCAAAGGAAGAATAAACGAACCTCTCCCTGTAGAACATGATGCATTGCAGGCAGCCATGGAACATGTTAAGGTATGAAAAATGTGGAGTTTTTAATTATTTCCCAAGTCTAGCTTTAAAGGTGAGGGATTAATGGTTTTAGCTGTTTTCTAGGAAAGCCAAGGCCTCAAGCACTTTGAAGAACATCAGTTTTAAAGTTTTTCACTGACTAATTCAAGGCGTACCTGCACAACAATTCTTGATGTTCTAAAATAAGTTCAATATTGAACTAGGATGCTGAACTAGTGCAAATGGAACAGTTCTGGAATTAATGGGGGAATAACAGGGACTTTCTCTCCACACAGATACAGTTCTTCAGCTCAGAGGCAAGCAGATGTATTGAACAGAAAAGATCAAGTTGTCTGGCTCTACTGAGATTTCAGCCCCTGAGATTTCTGGTCACTGAGGCTTAAAAAGCTTATCTGAAGTTACTATTATTAATTCAAAAATTATGAATGTGATATAGCGCTTTTTAAAAAATTGACAGGAAATATTTTAAGTTGCTAATTAGTTAAATAGTGAGAGTTGTTCCTTTTGGTGTTAGTGAATTATGTGAAATGAGACTCAGTCAGTAGTGGTGTAAAAGCAATTGTGCAACCATCAGCTAGGTAGCTAGATTTGTCTGGAAATTAATCCCCCAGAATTCAATTGGCTGTATTTCAAATTTTACCCAGGCTTTCTTCAGACTTATACACATTTACTTGAGAGGAAGAATTATTAATCCTGGTGAGTTTTATTCCGAGTAAACCAATATACTCCCTTAATTTTTAAATGCCAGAAGAGTAGCTTTGATAAATCTCTTCTAGAAGAAGAAAAAATAGTCTCACAGATATCATGCTGCATCTTAAATAAAGCTTTATACCACTGTACATTTAGTTTAAGAGTTTGAGGTGCTCAGGGGAACTCTTTGTGTTGCTCAGTGAAAATGACTGATTTCCTCTTCTCTCCAGCTGCCTCAGCAACAGGCAGGGAAAAAAAAGTCAAGATCCCAGCACAAAAGGTCCTGCCCATTTATATACATGCAAATTGCTCTCCTCCTTTCCTCTCCCCCTCCTACAGGCCAATCATAGGGTTAACCAAATGGTTTGGAGAAAAGGGAATGGAGGCAGGCAGGCAGGCAGGCAGGCAGGCACACACACACACACACACACACACACACACCCCGCCAGGAGCTTGCTCTGAAAGGGCTGTTGTTTCCCCCTTGGTGTTTCCATGCAGGCGTTGGAGAAGTCCCTCACCAACTGGAGCCAAAATGCAAAAGAACTTGATGCCAAAAAGGTGGAACTGGCTCACTTTATCCTTGCAGAAGATGTGATGGTGCTGAAAGAGCAAGTTGAACAGTTGCACAGCCAGTGGGAAGAACTCTGTCTCCGAGTAAGTAGTAGCTTATTTGGGCGCGCTGCTGTTTGCGATAGGGCTTTAACCAGGATGCCTTGTCGACTCTTCAGTTTTGCATAAAGAAACACACGATAAGCTTGAGAGATTTAAAGCCCTGTTGTTTTCTAAACAATACTGTTAGCAGATGTCGTTTTTTGTGGCCGTGAGGGGAAAAAAAATATCCTGCCTTGCGGCCCCAGTGTTCCACCAAATTTTGAAAGTTTTCAGCAACAGGGCAGTTCGGAGGACATTCTGGCTGAAACAGATGGTGTTCTGGAAGTAGACCAGCAGTCACTGGAAGTCTTTGTTTGAAGTGTTATGGGTGATCTGAAATAGCCCAGAGCAGAAGGACAAAGGTGTGAGAGTAGATAGTTATTCCTTATATTTTTCTCTGCATGGTTTTCTACATTTTTTAAAGGCGCTTCTCTCTGAAACTTCCTCAACTTGAGTTTACTCTGCATACTGTAGAATCAGTGTTTCTCCACCTCAGCAACTTTGAGATGCGTGGACTTCAACTCCCAGAATT